TTGCTGTCTCTATAATTTATTATAACACACCAAAAAATATTTGAAACTAATCATAAAGGACGCCAATATACATGTCAAAATAAAATACAGTTATGCGGTGCGACAATCTGGCATCTCGTGGTGGAAAAGCATCTGAATCAAATAAGCAGTAACCTGAAATTTAGCAGTAATTTTAAATTTATTGGGCGTAAGCGTGAGTTCTTGCGGTTTTTTTTTTTAAATAAAGACTTTATTGTGAAAAAATTGTTCTACATTTAATATTCAAAGTATTGCCCATTGGAAGCTACGATGTTGGTCCATCTTTCTGGCAGTTTGTGGATCGCATCCCAAAAGAACTTCTCCGGCTTGGAGGTCAAGAAAGAATCGAGCCAATTTCTGATACTCTGTTCTGAAGTGAAGCGTACTCCGGTGCGGCTATTCTGCATTGATCTGAACAAGTGGTAACCGGAAGGCGCTCTGTCTGGGCTATAATGGGTGTGGTAGAACTTCCCATCCACAGTTTTACAAACAGTTTTTAACTGGTCTTGCAACATGTGGCCGAGCGTTGTCATGATGAAAAATTATTGATTCGTGTCTGGTCGCATATTCTGGTGGTTTTTCCGCGATGACCTTTTTCAAACGAATCAATAGTTTTTGGTAGTGGCACCCGATTTCCAAGCTTCCGGATGAATCCTAATGATTTTAATCGTCTGAAAACGGTTGCTTGAACAACTCCTTATACTTTTGCAAGTTTTTCTTGTGTCCGGCGTGCATCTGCGTCCTGCAATGTCTCCAATTCTTCGAAATTGCCACTTCTCAACCGTGCAACCACTTTTGGCACGTTTCTTCGGCTAAAGCATGGTCACCATAAACGTCCAGTAAAATACGATGGCTTTCGGTAGCACTTTTCTTCATGTTAAAGTAATGAAGAAGAACTCTCCGCAGAAACACTTTATCTGGTATAAATTTCGACGTTTTCAAATGAATGAAACAAACTGTTGTTCACGTTAAAACAAATGACATCTACTGAAAACGACGCGAAAAGACAGTACCTTTGAAATGAATATAGCCACAGATGAACACGACGCGAAATAATACTAGTAGAACTTTCTGCTAGAAACCGCAACCAATATATACATATTTTTTAAATAAATGAAGCCCATCTCATATATATGAAATTCTTTACTCTATAATATAGGCGGTGATACTTAGGGCTGAGTAGGCAACTAAAAAGTAATGTCACCTTTCGACGAACTTAAACATAACTAAAATTTAAGTACATATTTCCGTCCTGTTATATAGAGCAGAAGCATATACGATTACGACATTTAATCATTTCGCATTAGGAAATTTTAGGAAGAAAGTTTTGCAAAGATTTTGAGAACCTCTGCGCATCGGTGCCGGCGAATACCGTAGACTTTAAAACAATGAGCTGTACATTGACACAGCTCACCGAGTTAGGAGATACCGAACGCTGGCTGGGTATATTCGTCCATATGGATGCCAACACTCCAGCTTTGAATTTAGTACCCATCGTTAAAACCAGATAAAGAAGGAGACCTCCATTCGAAGTTAGTCTGCCTACAAGCCAGGCTGTATAATGTAGTTGTGAATCCTATGTGCTCCAACCCTCTAGTGCTGAAACTTGTCAGATGGTAGATGGTGACTGACTTCCAATGAGACTTCAGATTCAAGTGATATCCCTCTGTTTCCCTAGCTTTTTTTTTTTTGTAAGATATCTCAATACTTTATCTTACACATTTCTGCTTTGAAGACAATTTTGCGTTCATTGAGCTTCTAGCTTTTTTTTGTTGTTGGTAGGATAACAGAACATTCCTCCTCGTGTGCCTAACACACATTTAGACTCTCATTTAGGCTTGCTAGGAAATGCGCTGCCAGTAAGTATCTAAGTGCTGCTTTTTACAGGGTGATTCATTTTGCGGTTTCACAAGCAGACATAAATGAAATGCATATAAAATTATTATTAAATGAAATCCCATTTTTATTATAGAGTTTGAACCTTGAAATTATATGTAAAACACTACACTATTCAAGTGCCACAGAAAAAAAGTCTCACGGTGGCAAATTGACCGATCTCGGTGACCAACTGACATCGGCAAGACGAGAGATTACACGGCTGGGAAATCTCTCTCTCGCAGTAAAGCCATATTCGTTCGTGCTTCGTGGCATGTGGAACCATTTTGATATTTCATATTACCCAAGTTGTGTTCTTCAAACGCAGAGGTAAAGTCTCATCACATCTACCGACAGTAATTTTTTCTCGGGTGTAACAGAATCTCTAAAATTATATGAGGATTATTGGAACCCAAAATTCAACAAATTCGCCTATTCATGTATCCATCGAAAGAGGAATGTGCCTCGGCGCTGTAATTTTTTTTTTTTTTTTTTAGAAAAATCACCGTCCAGTGTTTGTTGTTCAAGTACACAATCGACGTATGTACGGTCAGCCGGCTTCAGTTGTTGTGTAAGCTGGACTTAGTATGGCTGTAGCGGTAAGTTCAAGTGCAAAATTTTCCCTAAAGCGCCGTAAAATAACTCCAGCTCTCGAAAACGTCGAGAAATAGACACATGCGGGTCTTTGGCCACACTCTAGCTTGCAGTAGCGATATTTGAGGTGAACGAGCAAAAGTCGTTTCTTCAAGCACTAAACGTGGCCACGTTTACATCACGATTTTTGAGTAGATTCTAAAAATTTTATCACGATGTGCGGTATTTAGGGAATCCATTGTTATAAATGCTGGGCTCTTAGTGCCGATTTCGACCCAAAGATCCTTCTGCTGAGTGCTTCTTTGAACTGCTATCGAATGTTTTCTCTAGCTAAGTTTTCTTTATTAAGAATTACTTTGAGTTAGTTAACCGAGTGGGTGGTGCGAGACTTTTTTTCCTCTTTTAGAATAATAAAATATTATATTGTTATTCTTGAGGTTGCTTTTGTTTTTAATCTTGTTGCTCTTGCAAAATAGCTGTTCTAGTATTGGCATTAGCAGTCTCATGATTGATGTGCTATATAAACAAAATACTCCTCACCCAACTAATTTTGTCAATCCTTTTTTGGATGTAATCTCTTTATATGTTGTTGTTGCTTTAATGATTGATGCGTGGTAATTTTAATGCTAATCTTCTTGTCAAAGGCTCTTACATTAATAATTTACTTTATAATTTATATGGTTGCTCTCTTTCTGTGGTCAACCGATCACTTCCTTAGAAGCAAATCTAGTTAATAATGCCTTTCTTCTAAACTGTACACCTCACAGTGGCACTACAAACTTTATATCGAGGGATGGTCTTTTGTTTAGGGATGCGTGTTTTCTATTTTCAACTGTTAGTGAGTGTGATGTTGCAATAGGCCTTGATGGTTTACCAATTAAATTTTTTTAAATTATGCTACCTTGCATTCTTGGGTCATTAACGCCCATTATTGATTGAAAATTGGCACTGCACTACCTGTCGCTAAAAAGAACCATCCTTGTGCTCCGTCTGATTTTCGACTAAAAAGCATCCTCCCTGTATTTTCTAAAGGTTTTGAGATGCTTTTGGCTAAGCAACTAAACGAGTTTGTAAGCAAGCACAACTTAATATCTCCGTTTCAATCAGGCTTCAGGAAAAATCACAACTGTAGTACTGCGTTCGAACATGGATCAAAATAAATTCACCCTGCTTTGCCTACTTGACTTTTCAAAAGCGTTTGACATGGTCAACCATGAGTTATTAAGGGGCACACAAAAAGGTGATTTTTGGGAATTTTTATTATAAAAAAATACTTCAACAATTATTTAAAAATTTTGAGAATATATTTATACATTTTTCAAGAATATACAGTGACAATTTAATATTTTTTAAGTTATAGTCGATTTTTAACGGCTCGAAAAAAAAGTCCTTCACTGCTCATATTTTACACTAGGTGTGCCCCTTAAGCTGTAAGTTGAAAGCGTGTTATAGTTTTGGTTGGAGTGCTTTAAAGCTTGTGAAAAGGTTCCATGTTGACTGGTTTCAGCTAGTAAAAATTGGGGACAACACATCGCAACTCAAGCCAGTTACTTCAGGTATAATTCAAGACTCCATCCTTGGTCTCCCGCTTTTCAAGATATTTATTAATTTTTAGCCTTTCCTTAGTGTGTGCAAATTTTCCAAATCTGCATTGTTATGCTGATGACATTCAGTTATATTTATCTACACCTTTTTATCAAGCTGGAGAGCTATGCAAAAGCAGCCCTTAAAATTAATCAACAAGTAAGGTATATCTTATTCTGATGAATCTTGGGCAGTCAGCCACTGCTACCAGCCGCCGAATTGCTATGCAAATTACGCTTACGGTTATCATGTACTCGGAAGTCGTATACAGCAAACATGACAGTGCGTCTGCTCATAAAATTAATGTTATGTTTAATAACGTGGCACGGTATGTGTTTGGTCTTTCTAAATAATAGTACATCTCGTCTTGGAAAGATCAGAAATTGGGATGTACGATTGCGGACTACCATAAAGATATATATTGTATTTTTCTTTGCAAACTAATTTTGACTCAATCTCCTTCCTTGCTTATAGGTTATATTAAAATACCTTTTGATAAAACACAGCAATCATCAAAGCTGTTCCTTGCCAATGGTAGCCGATTATGGAACTCTCTTACTGTTAGTTTAAGGAGGAAATTAAACAGATGCAACTTTCAGAACCACATATTTATGCGTTTTAAAGAACAAATTTCAACATACACTGACCATTTAATAATTTTAAAATTTTTGTCATATTCAGTTCATTATATATTATTATTTTTGTTAATGTTTCTGTAAAGTAATATTTACTTTTTCTTCACACTATTTCTGTTGCACTAAAAATATATATGGAAATCTTATTGTACTAATGCTTTGTTATTATTAAATAACTAAATAAATAAACCGAAAAATTCTAACTCACTAAAGCCTTGGAATATTTTAAAATAATTGTGGCTGTAATTCTGCCAAAAAGCAAAGCTATAATATAAAAATAAACAAATAAATTACCTCATCATCATAATTATCGCCTTCCGCCATGATTGCTGCTACTTAGATTAAACTGCAAAATATAATTCCTTATGCATGCAATTCTCGAATGGTGTGTAGTGCACGGATATTGCACTCAGTACTTAGTTGAAGCTTCGCTTTTGCAATCAATCAGCGAGTTTCCAAGGAAAAAAAGTATTTATGTGTCTCACGTACTCAGCATTAAATTGATGCTCCTTGCCCTCTTATTGTTATTGTTGGTATAAAACATTGGCTATGCTCATTGCAATGCCTTATTGATTTCACATATTATTTACTGTCTAGTTCTTCAATTTACTTCAATTCCTTTTTGTTGTATTATTATTGAAATATATTTGATTTTTTTTAGCAAATCCTCGTTCAGTGCTTTGTTACTGTTCTATGAAATTCCTTTGGCTTAGTTCTTTATTTCGGCGAAAATGGTTTTAATTTATTAGTAAAATTGTTGTTGATGTCTGCTTTCCTGCCCTTCTCAGGAATTTGTGGTAATTTTGTTTACTTTATTTGTATTTTTCTGCATAAAGTTGACGTTTCATATATTTTGTATTGCCTCGTTAATGCGCTGTTGTTGTAATTACAAACGTAATTCGTGTTAATCCGTTATTTAAGCTAAATAATAAATTTATTTAGCATTTCAATGATTTTCAATTGTTTAGACCTCTTTCTGCTTCCTGGCGGTGTAATTAGTTTCACAGCGCTTCCGTCAGCACATCTACATGTTCCATTAAAAACGTTGCCTACATATAAGCGCTTTAAGTTTTACTCTTTCATAATTTGTAGCATACTGTCAAGCGCTGCCATTTGCAATTCTCACTACATTAATGTTGCACAAACTGCAGAAAAATATAAAAGGAGAGAATATGCCTTGTTAGTTCATTCTAGAATTTTCCGATATATTTTCATGTGTTTGTGTGTGTATGCGTAATGGTATGTATGTGTGAGGCCAAATTGTTCAATTCTTTGCTCTGTTGTTTATTTTCATTTTGTTCTTGCCATGACATACATGTACATATGTGGGTGTGAAAAGAGTGTTGCATACTTTTTTGCGCATCCATTAATACATTTGTATGCTCGTACAATAAAGGTTAATACAAATTTAGCTCGCTTGGGTGTGTTTGTATATATCACATATATGTACATATGTTAAACAGTGTGTGTTCGAGCTGTGGTAATTAGTGCGTGCGTGTAAATTGTTTCTTGTTCTTCTTATAACGATTTACATAAATTGTTGCTGCGCTAAGCTGTCATGTTGTTTGCTTAATGTTTTTCTTTGTTGTGTGTGTGTGTTACAGCGGACATATGCACAAACATGTATAATATTGCATGCTATGTTAGTTAATTTTTTTTTACTGTTTTCTGTTTTTAATGTGGCTTACATATATTCATGCGACAATAACATTTTTTAATGTTCTTCTTTTTGATTTTTCTGTTTGTAAAATATGTAGCGGAAATATTTCACGGGTTCGGTAGGGAATGCATTTGGAAATATTGACGATTTACAAAAACAAAAAAATTAAATAAATTATATAATTTTGCTTTTGCTCTTGTTTTGCTTAGCTTGCAATGTAAACTTAAATATGCACGTTTATACACATATTAAAAACAAAACTATGTTTAAAAGAACTAATTTTGTTATATATATTTTATGTTATTATTTTTTTGTTGCTAATTTTTTATTATTATTTTATTTTTTATTTTTTTTTATTTTCATTATTTTTTTTTTTTATAAATACTACTTTTTATTATTCTTTTTTTATTATTATTTTTTATGATCATTATTATTTTTATTATTATTACTATTTTTTATTATTATTTTATTTTCTATTGTTTTTTTATTTTCATTATTTTTTTTTAATAAATATTACTTTTTATTATTATATTTTATTATTATTTTTTATGACCATTATTATTTTTAATATTATTACTATTTTTGTTATTATTATTTTATTTTGAATTTTTTTTTTTCATTATTTTTTTTGTTAATATTACTTTTTATTCTTTTTTTTTTTTTTTTTTTTATTTTTTTTTTTATTTTTTTTATTATTACTATTTTTTTTTTTTTTTTTTATTTTTTTTTTTTTTTTCATTTTCATTATTTTTTTTTTTTTTTTTTTTTTTTTTTTTTTTTTTTTATATTATTATTTTTTATGATCATTTTTTTTTTTATTATTTTTTTTTTATTTTTATTATTATTTTATTTTTTATTTTTTTTTTTTTTTCTTTTTTTTTTTATAAATATTACTTTTTTTGTTATTTTTTTTTTTTACAAATTTTTTTTTTGAAAATTTTTTGAGCTCAAAATAATTTTTTTTTTTTAGAATTTTTTTTGTCTCAATTTTAATGCAAATATAATGTTTTTTTTTTTTTGTCTTTTTTTTTAGATGATAGAAATCCCAAGGAATAATTTTTTTTTTTTAATATTTTTTTTTATATTTTCCAAATATTGTTTAATACTTTTTTTTTTTATAACTTTTTTTTAAAATTTATATTGTTTGCAATCTTCTTTTTTTTTTTTTGTATTTTTTTTTTGAAATAAAAACTCCACATAAAAATCTTTTTTTTTTTCGGAGTTTTTTTTGAATAAGCTATAGGCCTCTTCATGTGTTTTTTTTTTTATCTTTTTTTTTTCCGCACACTCGCCAATAATCCGTGGTTTTTTTTTTTTCACTTTTTTTTTTAAATAAGCCTACAAAAAGCAGTCACATTTTTTTTTTTTGAACTTTTTTTTACAACTTCATTTTTCATCAGCTGTCTTTTTTTTTTTTGGAAATTTTTTTTTTTGGGTATCACATCTGGTTGAAGTTTTTTTTTTTTTAGACATTTTTTTTGAGCTATTTCCAGTAGTTTGAAACTATTTTTTTTTTTGATAGTTTTTTTTCAAACTCTGGCTCAAACCGTAATATTTTTTTTTTTTTATGTCTTTTTTTTGGTCTCGGAGTGTGATATGGATCTTGTTTTTTTTTTTTATTTTTTTTTTTTCTGTCCATTTATTTATACACAAACTTTTTTTTTTTTTAATGTTTTTTTTGCTATGTCAACCAAACTTGTTTGACGGATGCATTGCGAAATTCTAACGAACATTTGTCGGAACTGGCTAGATCTAGTTTTTTTTTTTTATGTTTTTTTTTCAACAAATGATGGAATAGAAGTGTAGTATTAAACTTCTATAACAGGAGCAGTGTACCGATCCTAAAGAGAAATAATTTTTTTTTTTTTGTGATTTTTTTTCTCGACATTAGGACAATCAGTTGATCTTTTTTTTTTTGAAACTTTTTTTTTTCTTGTGCCAAGCAAATTACATCGTTTTTTTTTTTTAATCGTTTTTTTTAGTTTTTCCTTTGACCTCCGCTATAATTTTTTTTTTTATTCCTTTTTTTTAATATTTGTAAATAATATAGAAAACTTTTTTTTTTTTAACTCTTTTTTTTGACTCATCTGATGTTGTCATAGTCCATTTTTTTTTTTTATATTTTTTTTTGAGAGCGATGAGTCACTTGAAGATTTTTTTTTTTTTTAGTAGTTTTTTTTGATTGTTTTTTAATATTTCTGCGTTGTTTTTTTTTTTGAAAATTTTTTTTCACGCTCGGCGACTGTATCTGTTTACTTTTTTTTTTTTTCTATTTTTTTTTAATTTTGAAAAAAAAAAAATAATAATTTTTTTTTTTAATGCTTTTTTTTAATCATGCCAATCACGTATTTTCTGTTTTTTTTTTTTGTTGTTTTTTTTTACGATACGCGGGAATCAAATATTTTTGGTTCTGTATAAAAAAATTGAAGCTGAACAAATCGCTATAAATACAAATTTTTTTTTTTTTCTCTTTTTTTTTTTCACATATGTAAATAGAATTGGCTATTTTTTTTTTTTAAGTATTTTTTTTGAAGTAAATATATAAGAAATCATGAATTTTTTTTTTTCTGCGTTTTTTTTAAATATTATATAAGAAAAAAGATTACTTTTTTTTTTTGTCACTTTTTTTTATAAGCATACTATTGCACATGTGTATTTTTTTTTTTTAATGGTTTTTTTTAAAATAAATTTATTAATATGGGAAGATTTTTTTTTTTATTTATTTTTTTTATGCCAAGAAATTGAAAATCATAAATTTTTTTTTTTTTCATATTTTTTTTGGACCGAATCTCAGATTTGAGATTTTTTTTTTTTTTTCCACCTTTTTTTTTCTACGAACATACAAATTGGTATTCTTTTTTTTTTTTTTAACTTTTTTTTATTAAAATAATAATAATAATAAGAATTTTTTTTTTTTGCCCTTTTTTTTTCAATTTATTTAGATAAAAATTTTTGGTTTTTTTTTTTTCGAATTTTTTTTTAAGAGACTGGAATTTTGTATTCTAATTTTTTTTTTTTCAATTTTTTTTTGCACTAAAAATCATCGAAATTCAAAATTTTTTTTTTTTAACCTTTTTTTTTGTAAGAATTAATATTGAAATGAAATTTTTTTTTTTTATATGTTTTTTTTGGTATAAAAGCCTCGGCATAGCCAAGTTTTTTTTTTTTTTCTTTTTTTTTTTAGACTTTTTGCGGATATAAGTTCATTTTTTTTTTTAAAATTTTTTTTTGAGTAATTTCACTGATGACGAAATGATTTTTTTTTTTTTATGTTTTTTTTGCAACACTTTCTCTGACAGCTTCAAAGAATTTATTCGACGAGATGTTAGCAACCTCTCATTGCGCCGTGCACAACATTTTTTTTTTTAAATTTTTTTTTTACCTGTGGTCCTGATATTTTCTACGATTTTTTTTTTTAGTCATTTTTTTTGTTTCCTCTGTCTCTTTACTCCACTTTTTTTTTTTTTTTTTGTTTTTTTTCTCAGTTGGTATAGAGTCCGCAGTCTTTTTTTTTTTTAAGCATTTTTTTTTTTTTTTTAATTTTGTAGTGAACTTTTTTTTTTTTTTTAATTTTTTTTTTGTTGTGTCTGGCCTTTATCTGCGAAATTTTTTTTTTTTAGGCTTTTTTTTTTCGAAAGTTTACGATTTAATGCGTCTTTTTTTTTTTACATTTTTTTTTTTAGATGAGCGTCTTGCCACACAATCCTTTTTTTTTTTGAATTTTTTTTTTTATCGTTGATTTGTGCCCACGCCCCGTTTTTTTTTTTAGACGTTTTTTTTAAAGATGCCTTTATGAATACCTTGAGTTTTTTTTTTTCTCGATTTTTTTTAGAAGATACAGCGACTTACGGAAGGTTTTTTTTTTTTAGCAATTTTTTTTATGACCCAGAGCATACTGAATTTATGTTTTTTTTTTTTTTCCTTTTTTTTAGAAGTTCTGCGCCTGACCATGTCAATTTTTTTTTTTCGATTTTTTTTTTGAAAAGCAACATAGTTCTCCGGTTCCTTTTTTTTTTTGCATTTTTTTTTTAATGTTCAAAATTAGTCCCATAGTTATTTTTTTTTTTTCTAATTTTTTTTTTTGTGATTCTGCACAAGTTCCTATATTTTTTTTTTTGTTCCTTTTTTTTAGCTGATCCCACAACAACATATCAACTTTTTTTTTTTTAAATTTTTTTTTTTTCTAGTATTAGTCCCAAACTAAATTTTTTTTTTTTTCTCATTTTTTTTGATATTACGTTACGTTATCCAAGCAGTTTTTTTTTTTTCTTGTTTTTTTTTTTGAATGACACAAAAATGTTTCCTTTTTTTTTTTTTATTTTTTTTTTTTAATCTTCGCTAACTTTAATTCGGCGCTTTTTTTTTTTAGTGATTTTTTTTCGAAACACCCTTTGAATCTGCTCGAGTTTTTTTTTTTGTTTATTTTTTTTTAAATCGCAGAGAAAGAGCGAATGAGTTTTTTTTTTTAAGAGTTTTTTTTGGAAA